ATCATCCATGCAAATAACTGTGAACAAATATAAGAGACAATTATTTATACATGTATAACTGATAACGAATTATCGGACTAGTGGGTTTCCAAATGTAATGTGGGAATTATCTCTACTAAAAACAAATCAAACATTATAGGTGTACAGAGTTACATTAACATTCCCATAAGAAAAATATCATAATCTATTTGTTAGCCTTTGAAAGATTATTTATTTCCTGCCATTATTTACTATTCTTTGTTAATTTTCAGACCATGATAGTGCTACATAAATTACTTGAAGGATGACCATATATGGATAATTCAAATAGGAATGTTGCTTTTGCAGTTCAATAAATAATACTGAAAAAAATGAGATGGAGATAGAACCATCGTTAATAGTAAAGCTATGTGGTTGATGTTCTGATAAACCACAAGACGTAGAAAGTATGCATTTGAGATTTGTTGTTGTACATGGTTGTATAACAGGCTGAAGAGCCTTATTACCATGAGGTAACACGAATTGTAAAAGAGCAACGACATTGCATTATTTCCCATTCATTTTGTTCGTGCAGTTTCCTAAAAAAAAATCTTCCATAATGTAAATTGAGGCACACCAATATGAATCACTCTCTTCACATCAGGTACCTCTACATGTATACCAATGTCAAATACTAATGTTATAGTTACATTATTTTAGCTGTATTATATTTTTGGTAACACCACGTACTCATATGGGAATACTGAAATAAATTGTTGTTGTTGAAAGCACCCAAAAGATTAAGCTTTATATAAGCTGGTTGAAAGGTATAAAATGAACAAAAACAATTATATCAACAAAAGCAGTGGGGGGTGGGGGACAAAATGATGGGAATAGCCCTATAACTAGTTTTGTAATGTCTGCAGGCTTTTCTCAAGCCTGAATGTACAAAAATCATCATTAGATGTTCCAAATAAGCTAATTAAAATGGCTGCAGAGCCATTGTGGAAGCTCCCAGCACACATATATAACCACTGTTTACATCTGAAGAATACACTCCCTCAGGATTAGTTTCTGAGCATAAGCAGATATGCAGGCCAAAATTACGCATGCGTTACCGGATGTCCGTGATTTACGGACATCTGGTAATGGCTGCTACGAGAGCCCTCCGTTTCTCCGACCACGTGACCAAAAGAAACGGAGGCTCTGGGGACGAGAATGTTTCAGTCTGTCCTCCAGTTCAGATTCTGAAGTCTCAGAAATGGAAGATTACGAGTTGGAAGTTTTTCATGAAATGAAAAGTTGAAGGTTCACCAAACTCGAGCTCTACGGCCAGCGATGAGGAAGGTACGCAAGAGACATGCCGACGATCCCCTAGCGGATGAGGAATGGCTAGAGTTTAGATTTGACAAAATCGACCCACTTCCTCCTTCGCTTTTGCTTTTCGCTTTCACTTTTAGCGTGAAACGGTATGGAATGAAGGAGTATCCCTTTCTCTTTGCTTTGAACATTGCTACAGCCAAAAACAACACATCTCTCAGGCATTGTTTCAGCTCTGATCGAAGTCACAATACGCGAAGCTCACAGTCCGGGAGTTACGCCACGAATTACACACGACCCATTCCCTTTCGGCAAGTTCCGCCACTCGGAAATGGATTTTCAAATCTCGATTTTCCGCCACTTTGAAAATTCATAGAAAATTCCAGTTTTAAGCAAAAACAAAAATTTTTGCGCCATTTTGCTCAGAATTATACAAAGATTTGT